TGAAAAACCTTGGTCCCGCCCGTATCTAATTTACACTTATTTTTCTCTCCCTTTTTAGCATTAATAGTTTTATACTCGATTGTTTATTTATCATTCTACATCTTGATTATTATTCGATTAATCACATTTTGTAAATAATAAACAGAACAAGCATCAGAAGAGTAACTAACTAGTTAGTCATTCAAATTAGTCTTAAAAAAAAGTAAAATGAATTATTCACAATATGACAAGTACGCAATATGAATTTGATTTACGCGATTTATACGCTTGTTTCACTCTTTTACAGGAGATCAAAATGGTTTTATCGATTCAAAACTAGTGTATAATCAATAAATATCTAATTTATTCTGCTAACAATTATTGTACCACGATTTGAAATTGTAGGGCAACATATTTAACTGAACGGAAAATAAAATCAACTATTATTTTATATTACATCAAAAGCGAAATAAATAAACGAGTAAGTAACTACTACATTTATGCATGTTGTTTTCAGTTTCACGATTATCGATTTTTATTCATTTAATGATCAAATATAAAGCCGTTTTAACACTTATCTTTTCATCTTATCAAATTTCTATTTCATCCCAATCGAATAGTTTCACTACGAATTAGATATTTGATCCATGCATAACTTCTTATTTTGTTTACACTAGCACTTTTTTATTTGTCTGGACTTCGTACATCTGCAATTATCAGACACTCATAACGAGAACGGTGTTGGCAGAACATTAAACTAGCGCGTTCTGAGGATGAAATGTTGTTTTTGACGTGTCGCATTCTATAACCAATGTGGTTTGGCATACTAATTCAATAAAAACTGCTATTTTTTCTGAATCGATCATAAAAGTAGTTTTACTTTGGCTTTAGTGACCGGACAGACACTCGTCTCTCGCATTCATCCAAGATTCACGATTTCTTTTGGAAATGGGAGAGGCAAAATTTTGACAGAAAGTGCATTCTGAAGGAAGAAGGAAAACAAATTCCAATTATTGTGGGTTGGAGGTTGTAACTGTCACTATGGACGATGAAACCATCGATTTCAGCTCCTCATACTTTTTATCGATACTTTCTTGCAACAATGTATACTTCGAATGACAATGATCTTTCCAGTTCTTCAATATAACCAATTTAAATATAATAGCCAACTTGGTTCGCTGCTTGTGGGATATACAGTACTAGAAGTCATGACTATCGGGTGGTCCATAATGAATCGGTCACTTGGTATTTCGCTCATATCTCAGTTGGGTTTTATCCCTTAGGCTTCACTGTTTCTTAAAAGATGCGCCGTGAAATTCTCTACAAAATATATACCAAAGCTCTTTTATGTACATAAAAATTATGTAAAGATAAAGGAATAAAGAAGGAATACTGCGAATCTTCAATCTCAATTACTTTGCAACCCGCAAGAGAAGGAAAACAAATTTATCTTGAATACAGTGCCATATGTCATAGTGGTGTTCCGAAGTGTCATCTTTCTTTTCGTTTATCGGAGGTCAGTGCCTTTTTATCCTATGTGCTAATTGTGCTATAGCACAGGGGCCCGGCTGACTCAGGGACCCAATCGAACGGCTTAAGCCTTGCATTTTGTTATTATTAAAAAAAATACAAATTGATGTGTTGAAAACGTTAATGATCAACACAGGGCCCACAAATTTCTTAAAACGGCTCTGTTGGAGGTTCGGTTTAAACGTGTTGTTCTGACACAAAAGGCGACTGTAGTAAAATTTAACAAAAAAAGGAGAATTTTGTCTTTTTCGCCGTGACACAGGAAAAGAAGAGAAAATATTGCATTTTCTCTGTACGAATGTAACAAAAGAATTATTTTACTTTGAGATAAACCAAACCCGACCTTCAAATGTTTGATTTTGACGGAGTTCTAAGAGTTTTCCTAACTGCACCAAAACTGCGACTGGAAAATGTTGATTTTGGGGAAAATCGATAAAAGAAAAAAAAATTTCTCACAAGCGATTATGATTACGAAGAGTTTTAAATATAGGCACTTGATAGAGCTTTTTAAGAGCTACCAATGGCCATCTTCTTGTTTTTGTTTCGCAAAATATGAAGGACTGAAATTAAAAAAATTGTTTTTTGGGTTGCAAAATAATTCAGATTGAAGATTCGCAGTATTTCTTCTATATTCCTTTATCTTTACAGTACATAAAAGAGCTTTAGTATATATTTTGTAGAGAATTTTACGGCGCATTTTCTAAGAAAACAATAAAGTCTATGGGATAAAATCCAACTGAGATATGAGCGAAATATCAAGTCACCGATTCATTATGGACCAAAAATGAATTCAAAAACGGCGAAAGCTAAAACTTTATCTATAAATATCGAGCATTTACAACGGCTTTTTGGATGAGGAGAATAAAGCAGAAACTGGTAAAGAACACGCTCAAGAAGAAATGACTTGTCATGCTGCCAGAAATATGTCTTAAAGATACACTTTCTACTTTTATTTGGCAAGAAGAAAAGAAAATGCTTAGATACATGGTCATCATTAGGCGGATTCTTTTCTAATTGTCAGACAGTTAGTGTATAAAGTAGTACTCTACCATGGCATTTAGGTAACGTCAATTCTTCTATTACATGTCAAAACTTCAATAGAAAAGAAAATCACACAAAAAACTTTAGCAGAAAGAAGTTTTAAGGAGGAAAGTCTGTCCCCAATCGTGAAGTATACACTCATCGGATGAGACTCTCAAACCTTAAAACTTCTTAGATTTTTTTCAGTAAAATACAAAGTTATCTTATCATCACATTCGTTGACATTCATTTATAAATGCTATATAGATTTACAGAATTGTTGAGCATGACCTAACAGTCAGTAGTTAACGGTGACATAAAAGTTTATGTTTAAAATTGAATTAATGATAGTGTTTCTGTGCATAACGTCACCTTTTTGTCGTTTAATGCGTCAGAGACTTATTTTCCTTATATGCGTCGCATGCTTTCATCGGGAACAATAACGACTGTAATCTAAATTTGAAAACAGAAAGACAAATGACAGAAAGAGAGAGTATAAGTGTGAGAAAGTACGAGTCATTGAAGAAATGAAAAAGCATGGAATAAATATAGCGTAAACTACTGATTATCTGCGTGAGAGAGAAAAACAGACACAAAGTAAATGACTCTAAAGAATACTATGATAAAAAAGATAATAGTAGCACAAAATAATTACAATGAACGTTCTTTGTTGAACTTATTTGTAGCTATTCTACTACAACACTTGTGCTATCGATGTCTTCTAAAACATGAGAATAACTGACATGAGTTATATTAGATTTTTTCGCGTATCGCTGTATTTTTATTACAGCCAGGATCTGAGTAAGTTTTTCCCTCAAAATTATTATTTTCGTAAAGAAAGAAAATAGAATATCTTGTTAGAATATCGTGTTATTCCCCAAAACAAAATTTAAAGAAAAAAGCTTCAGTAGAAAACTGGTTCAGGTAAGTTAGGAGGAGATATTTCTAAGCATTTTAGCTCTAAGCTTCTCTTTTTAGTTGTGCTGAGAAATTCAATGTCGATAAGTTTAAGGAGGGTGCAAAATTTGTCTAGCTTTGACTCGGAATAATCGCCCAAATCTAGGTCAAGAAATGACAATAAAGCATGCTTGTATTGCTTGCGCGTTTGTTTTGATTTATAATCACTATGAAGTAGTCATTCTCTTCTATAATGCAATAACAAGTGCTTGGAATATTGCCAAAGCAACATGGTTGATGATTGATATTGCATGATTTACACACGGTATTTTATTTTCTGCTATTTTGTAATAACATATCATATCATAACCATTTTATTTTGCACATTCTCTTGACTGAAAGGAGCAGGATTAGAATCTTTCATTGAGTATGTGTATTTGTTTGTTTATAATCTAAAGTGTGAATTGCTCAACACTGAAGGAAAAGTGAAAAGAATGAAGACGTTTAGTAAAGAATAAAGGAGATATAAAAAATTTATATATTCGAAACTATCCATCAACGGGAAATATGACTATGTGAAAAATATGTTAACAGACGAACAGAAATGACGAGTAGTAGAAAAAGAATAAATTAATAAATGACAAACAGTTGAAAATTTTAATGATTATTGACAATCATAGCTTGTTTTAAGCTTATTTATTTGAAATATAAAAAAAGAGAAATTTGCAGAGTGGCAGAAGCGGATCGACAATTTATAATGTGCGATCTCACTAGAACAATAATCATCACTTAAACAGAGCAGAACAAAGAATCACATACAAAGAGAAAAGAATGAAAAATTATGCAATATAGTGTTTCTGATCATAAAGTGGTAGAAAGAGAAAGAGAGAGTCCATTATGTTTGTGTTTATAAATTCAAAGGAGAATTAGACAGATGCAGAGAATTATTCTACACTAACGTTATGATCAACTATTGCGCTGACGATGATCATAACTCTTTGACATGTTTCTACTGAATAATATACTATTACAATTTTGCTATTTCTGTTCTATTCTTCTGCTTCTTTTTTTTATTGTTCTCGTGTGTATGCTCTAAAATTCTTCGTTCGTGTTAATTTAACAATCAAAACAGTTCAATTTCAAGATTTTTATATATTTATGGACCACTAAGTCAACGGATCGAGTAGATCAGCCGTTTTTGTTACATTTTTTCTAAATTAAAATAAATAAAAAGCGACGTTAAAGTCGAAGAAAGACAAGAAAGTTATATAACGTGTTCCTCAAGGATAAAAAACCCCATCGTTTAGTGTTGGCTATAGACGCTGTAAAAGTGTTGAGGGCGAGTGTATGTGGTCTCCAACTTTGAGTTTATTGTTTCCTTTTTTTAATATATAGATTAAATTTTGGACACATGTTAATGAAGGAAGAAAGAAGTGATGACTAGAAATGTTAATCGTGCCACCATTCCCAATATATTGTTTGAAAATCTCATATCCCCGAAAAGCAAAAAATGTTCACAGGCTTTGAGCTACCACCGTCGATTTAGAATATTTACGTGTTATACGGCGCCGAGCATGAGATTGGCTAACATCTTTAGAAAGTAAAAGAGAACACGAAAATGTCTATTGACAAGTATCGAATTTCTAAATTTCATAATGTTAATATTCGTGACATGTAAATAAATTTAAATATCTGAACTAGTTTGGTACTTCTAACTTTAGGCCCTGTCTCTATCATTAAGATTCGTAGAAGAGAGCGTTTGCTTAACATTACAGTCTTTGAATAATGATGATTTAATCCGCTTTTACTTCTGTGTCTACAAGCATCGTGTTTTATAACTACTTTGTATGAACGAAAAAAGAGCCTAATTGCTTGTGCTACAAAGCTGATTAGATTTTGTTAGATTACATGGAAAAATTGTCTTGCTCTAGTTAATACTTAGAAACGTTCGGTGAAAAGTATTGTTTTCTTGTTAAAATTTCTTAAGAACAAGTTTTTTATTTACGGTTATAAATCTGCTGTCTTTTGATTTTAAACTGTGAATGATTTGATCAATAAATGGTAGTGTTTATGACAAATAGCCGTCATTTTTTTTAATTTTTTGTTTCGTTCGATCATATTTACAGCATGAGCAGAGATGTTCATTACGTCATTATTTCAAAAGTCTGTTATCGTCTATGTATTGAAGTTTTAACAAAAAGTTTTAAAAATGTTTTGTTTTCTATTGTAGACCAATGGGACAATTTTTGGATAAACCTAAAGTTGACAAAAGTCCTGAAAAAGGGAAAATCGACGATATTCGATATGGATTATCTCACATGCAAGGCTGGAGAGTGGATATGGAAGGTAACAATTTAATCATGATCAGACATGTTTCGTGTGTAAAATAGTATTTATCTGTTTTAGATGCACATGCAGCAGTTCTTAGATTAGATGATAATCGATGGGTAAATATCGAGTCATTTATGTATCCAGACTACTATGTAGAACACTGATTTGATATCCATTTTATTTTTAAGTCCCGTTGGTCCTATTTTGGAATTTTTGATGGTCATGCAGGAAAATATGTCGCTATACTCGCATCACAACGTTTACATATGAGAATATTACAATCATTAAATAACATGGTGAATCACGAACATCCAAAGGCTGTTGCCGGTGTACATAATAATCAACAATCTTATATAACATCATCACAATTGGATTTTCACAAATTTGAAAATGCAATTAAAGACGCTTATTTTAAATTTGACCAAGAATTACGGGAAGACTTACGTAATCAATCACCAGGTTCATACATATTACAAAACTAAAAAATTTATAAAAAAAAATAATTTGTTTCTTTTCTCTTTTTCAACAGAAGATAAAAGCGGATCTACAGCTATTTCATGTTTGATAGATCCTGAGCGAATATATTTTTTAAATGTGGGAGATTCTCGAGCAATTCTTGTTTCAACAGATGGTCGAATATTAATGGCGACCAAAGATCATAAACCAAGTTAGCTATTTTAAATCTTTTATTTTATCATATCTACGGAGAATATTATTTAGATGATCCTACGGAGAGACAAAGAATTACAGAAGCTGGTGGTACTGTACTAATTCAACGTGTAAATGGTTCGTTAGCGGTTTCCAGAGCATTAGGTATGACACATCTCTAAAAACTAAATATGAATATATTTTTGTTAATATCTTTTAACAACGTACTAAAAATTGTACGATTAAGTATTTTTATTTCATCATTAAACAAGGAGTAAAAATCAAAAACTTTTTTAAAACTATCTCTTTATTGTTGAGTAAAATATCCTTTTATCTAGCAGTTAACTTTTATTTTATTTCGTAGGTGATTTTGAATATAAAAACAGCAATAATCGGCGCCAAGAACAACAGTTAGTGTCACCAGAACCAGAAATCATGCAACATTTACGAATTCCGCCCTCATCCCAAGATTTAAAAAACAATACAAATAAACATCAAAACGTACAACAAGACGAACAAGCAGCCTTTATTCTTCTAGCTTGTGATGGTATTTGGGATGTTATGACCAATGAAGAATTAGGTGCATATATCCTTGGACGAATGCAAGTTACAGACGATTTAGAAAGTATTTGTAATCAAGTGCTCGATCTGTGTTTGTATAAAGTATGTTTATTGCATAAATCGAACAATATTTTGATGTTTGAGGATTTTTTTAGTTAGAAATACTTTATATAAAATAACATGAATGTTTAACGGACAATGAAATAACTGTTCACAGTACTGTACATTTAAGGATATTTTATTTATCTATTTGTTTTCTTCTAGGGTAGTAAGGATAATATGAGTGTAGTTATCATCGCGTTTAAAAATGCACCAACACCAAATCCTGAAATGCAACATAAAGATAAGATTTTAGATGACAATATTAAACAAAAAACAACTGGTATTATTCTATTCTATTTATTTTTATTTTTCTACAATTTTTTTTTGTATGAATTTTATCTTTCTTACAGAGTTGTATCACAAAGTACAAAAACAAAATTTAGACGCTAATAGTCTTTGGCAACAAGTTATGTTAGCTTTAAATGAAATACCATCGAATCGTGACACACTACCCCCAGCAGGAGGTTTTATTTCAAAGTAAATGAGATTTCATTCAAAATCTTTTGGGTTAATAATTATTTATTTCTGATGTCTATTTTAGACGTTATGTATTTGAACAACAATATGCAATAGAGAGCAATGCACAGAATGCTCAACGGAACACGATAACGGTACCTATTCTTCTTTAATGTAGTCTTATTATTTTTGTCGTCTGTTGAATACACTGATTATCATTTGGAAGGTAAAGAGAAATAATATAATAATATCTTATGATGTAAAAATTTTAGTCTCGTCAAACGGCGGCCCAAAAGAATCCGTCAGCACGATATTTTTTTATTTTGTCTTACATTTAACTTGTGCACAAAATACTAATACTTTATGTTATAATCTTTTTCTTTTTTTTTTTGTACACACACATCGATCGGGACGCAGAGAGCAATGCTTGCCTTTTTTTTACTCATTTTATCTATTACTTCTGCTGCATATCTGTTATTCGTTGTTTCTGCTCTCATTGAGTGTGTGTGCTTTGTTGTCTTGCCTTCGTAATTCTGAAAAATGAGACATCATACAATCACTACCAATTTCGAACGAAAATGGCGTTGTATATATTTTCTCAAGAAATATTGGATACATTTTCTTTATCATTCTTTCGTTTTGTCTGCTATTATATTAAAATAAAAGAACTAAAGGTGTTTTCTATAATGATGACTGTTTTTAATAGTATTTTTAACATTTGCTATCTCTTCTCATCGCGACTTGTGTTTTGTTTTTCTATCAGAACAACAGCGCCTTATTTCAAATAAGGCAGAACATAAAGCAGTTATGACAGCACAACATATTGTATGAATTGTGATATGCTTAAACACAGCGTTTTTTTCAATCTTGTTTTAAGGACACATATTCTAATTTATCACTATATCAATCTGACTTCTTTATAGGAAACAATCAATGATGAATTAACGATTAATAATGATAATAATAACAATGACTCAAAGCTTAGACCAACATCTTCATCACCACCATCATCAATGGATAGAAATAACGATCTAGCTGCTCCAACATCCACAATTTCAGGTTTGATTGAATAACGAAAACGAATAACAATGATCCACAAATACACGTATACACACACACACACATATATATACACACGTTCTAATTTGTGAAGTTACCACATTCAGCGATCTCGCTTGAACATCCAGTTTTATATCATTTAGATTTGATATTTTGTTTTTTTCTAACACAGTTTTTTTTTTTTATTTCTTACGTAAACACAATTTTTGTGATGGATGACGATGACTAAATAAATGAATAAAAAAATTAACAGAAAATATTTGTACTTTAATTTTTTCTTGTTTCTGTAATTTTTTTGTAATACATGTCTCTTTATATTTGGTCTATTCTGTTTTCTCTTTTCGTTATTGTTGTTTTCTTTTTGTAAAGATCAATTAAAAATTGCTTACTTTTTCAAGAAAGAAATGCAGACGAGAAAACATCGTTCCTTGTGGTGTGCTTCGATTAATTTGAGAACAAGAGAGATAAGTACAAAAAATCTTACTGATTATTTCACGATAGTGTAGTCATGAGTGCTGTTTGAATAACATTCGATTAGAAACAGTAAGAGACTTGCAGTATATGATGTTCGATAGAGAGTACTTTAGGACATGTATCTATGAGACAACGGGGTTAAAATTTCCAGTTAACAATGATATATCTAACCATACAAAATCTACGAAATCACCAGAATCGGAAAAAAGAATTGATCTGAAATTTTTTTGAAAAAATGGATAGATTTTCAGTAATCAAAGTATTTTATTGTGGATTTTTAGAATATTTACTGATTTTCATGGTGTAATATGGGTAAAGCAGACTGCATCTGTAAATTGTGATGTAGTTTTGATAGATTTTGACTATATTTGTTTCATTGTTTTCATTTTCGATGAAAATAGCCAAAATAGATAGATCATGTCAGCTAGTCTAGGTTTTCATCAGATTATTGAACTTTGGAATAAAAATACATACTGGCAGGAAAATCAGTGGAGTCGATAACCTGTGTTTTTATTTCCTTCGATGGTTCCTCGACATATAATTTGAGAGGTACGGGTATCTCGGGGTGATGTGATGAAGATCTGGAACTTGCGCGGGAATGGGGAGGAGAGTCCTAAAACTCCTGCTAAAAACCACTATTTCTTCAGACTCATCACTTAAAAACTATTATTTCCGCTTAATCATGTATGTCTGGTTCTAGTATTTTTTTGCTGCTTGTTCTTGATATAACACAATTGAACCAGGGGAAACTAATTCCCATACTTGATACTGTTTGCTCTTTTTTTGTAAACAATAATAAATCAAAGAGCGAACGGTTCCTTTACATAATGAGTAAGACTTTTATCAATATAGAAAATGAGCAAGAAACCATTTGAATAAAATTTCTGCAAACGATACAATTTGTTATGTGAGTTGATCTAAAATATGCCATTCCTTCTTTCTCTCTTTTCTATTTTCATTTCTTTCCGTTGTTCTTTTATTATCATAGATTTCACATAATTCTTGTTATTGGAGAGAGTAGTTTTTTTCTACAGGAAATTGAAAAGGAGATGGCTGTTAAAAGCTAATAAAATTCTTTCAAAGTCAAAAGTTTGTTTCTGTTAAAAAATAAAGTCACTATATTAGATACATGCAATGAACATGGTAGAATTAATGGGAAAAATATTTCCGAAGTGTTTTTATTCATCTCAAAAGAAAACCATGAACACTGATTGTGTCTCGTGAATAGTAATTATCTCAATAAGGACAGCCTAGGAAATCTCCTCTTACTTAGTACTTGAGATTAGGTATAAGTCACCGTACTTTCTCGCTGTACACTATCAACATTCATCCAATCAACGTGCTACCATTTTCATCGATAAATTTATTTTTTTTTGTCTTGATCATGGAAAACACACGTTGCTAAACACAACAACAAAAGCAAAACTGATTTTTAAGAGAAAAACACGAAAACAAAACAAGACGGACACACGAAAAAAAACAAAAAACATTTAATAACCTAATCGAATAACAACAATAAAAACAAAAAGCTCACTCCATTTGTCCTAATAATTCTTCCTTCTTTAATATTGGTTAATAATTGCCGATACACGTGAATTGAATTCACGCATTTTACTACGAATACCTGATTCATTTTCTGAATATACTTGTTTTGTTTGTTTATTTGCTACTAATTTTTCTGCATGACCACTTAACGTCTGGTGTAGTTCACGAACTTGAGCATCAATACGTTGTAATTCAGCAATCTAAAAACTCTAAGTGTGTAAGTACAAAGAAGAGACAAGATCGAGTTCTTAGTCTTATATCTTAAATACTATTTTACGCTTTTCATCTACATGAACTTAAACGAATTGAAATATTCCAAAAAAATAAAATTATCAACAATTCAAACATACCTTTTCCGATCCATCGATGCTATCATTTTTTGCTTTTAGTGCCAATAGATTTAAATCTTGACTAATTGATTTTAATTCGTTTTCAATTTTTTTTCGTGTCTCATTGGATCCTCGTATATCTTTGCTTGTTTTCAACGTAGTCAAAGCATCATCAAATTTTTGATATAAATGTGAACGTTTTGAATTTAAATCAATAACTTGATCCCAAATTGCTTGTAATCTTAAGCGTGATTCATTGCCTCCATTTTTTGTTATAGAAAAATTTAATCGAGTCAACATTGTTACAGCAAAAAATAGACAAAATAATGCACCAACAATTAACAATGGTTCACGGAATAATAAATATTTTTCAAATGTATAATGTACTTCAAAATCTTGAATATGATTGAATAAAACATTTTTCTTTTGTAAAACAACAACCGGACGACCACTAGTATCCAAATAAGTATAATGTTTTTCATCTGGTAAACGTTGAACATCATACGATGGTGGATAAAATTCAATATTACTGGCACCTTCGGGTAAAACAATTCTAATAAAAACTTGTTCAAGTAATTGATCATCATAAACATGATCGACTAAACGCATCTTTAATACATAATTATTTCCTTTGTTAAATAAATATTGATACGATGGAACATTATAGCCGAGAATATAATAAGTTTTCCAACCACCATATAACGGAAAACGTGGACGAATTTCAACTTCCACTTGATCGGACATTTCACGCACATGACTCGTTGAAATGTTACCAATTTCATCGCGATAATATATGTCACGTGCAGCAGCTGGTAATGATGTCTGAAAAAACGAAACAAGAGAAAAAAAATTGTTATACAACGGTTGTTAGTTAAACTTTTAGTCTTCTTGGAAAACTTTAGTTTAACTATTTGGAAATCACTCAGCTATGTTGTGGAGCTAGTTTATAGAGAATCTAGCTAAAACACATACAAACAGTAGGGACTCATCAAGAAAATTTTGTATAGAGAATGATTGTTATAGTCTAAGTATTTTTCAATTCAATAACTCAGTAGAGAATAGTTACTCAAATTCTTACTTTAAATGCTTTGACTGCCGAATAACTATCTTGTCGACGTTGAAAATCTAATCTGGAAAATGGTCCTTTTAATTTTGCACCACTGTGATACATATCAATTGTTTCTTCAATAGCAATGTTTCCCCAATGTGATACTTCAATCCAACGATTTAAATTACTTATTGTTAAAAATGGATTATTATTTTCATAATGTAATGTTATTTCTTGATTTGAAAAATTTGGTATATTTTCGTATGAACCATAAGTAATTGTTTGATCATTTTTATTCACCGGTTTTGGTAATTGTGCATAGGATTCAGCTCGATCTGTTGGCAATGTGATAATGGTTTTCTGTGTGACTGTCGGATATTTTGTATTATAATAAACATTCATTTTATACTGAATTAATTGACGTTCACCTTGTACTATTTCAGTTGGATAGGGTTTTAAGGCATGAACATGAACCACTTCCACTTCAAATGTGAACTTTTTACCAGGCTTAATATCATTTGGAAATTCAATTACATATAAGTTACCCCTATAAGTACGTAAGAAACAATAATGAGCATAAGAATTTTTTTTATTATACGTACTTGCTTTTATCTGTTGATGTTCCCTTTTTAACAGTAAAAGGTAACTTATCTTCATCATCTTGCGCTTTGGCCTGAAAAATTGAAATAGTTAACAGAAAAATAAACAAAAAATATCATTTTCAACATACAGAAGCGCCAACATAGGCAACATTATTTCCATATTGAGATTCAACATAATATTCATACGTTCGTACTGGTTTTGAGCCACGATTTTCGACTGTTATTACTATTGTATATTTTGGTAAATGAGAAATAAGATCAACCGAACGTTCAACATCGGTATTAACTAGATCACTTTGTTCTACTGTATACACCTGATTTAAAATAAAACCAGTCAAAAAAAACAGAAAAAATTTGATATTGCTCGACAGCATTATCTAAAACAATTAAAATTGACCATAAGTTCAATAACACAGCAGATTATGTGTTAAACAAATGTAGTGAAAAGACTTCCTTCCATATTCTTTTTGGAAAATTGTGCATAGTTAGAAAATAAATACATAATTAAAGGTTTGTTGTTCGAAGTAGTATAGCTCAATTAGAATTTTTTCTTCGACCAATTTCTGATTTAGCCAATAAGCCACTTAGAGCAACAGAGTGATCCCTTTTCGTCTGAATATATTACTAATGAATACGAACAAAGTATTGATTTTTTGTCTTATTCCTCGATAAAAAAAATATTTATCTAAAATGATGATCGTAGAAGTATAACAGAAATTTCTGCTCGAGGCCAAGAGCGCTTATGTTACTAGACAGTGTGATGATTTTTCAGTAAATGAATAGGGACAGATAACCATGTAAATAAAGAATTTTTATTTTGAAAAAAATAAAAGCAAAGAATCTATTTTTGGTGCATATTCTTTTTGAAACAATCAATCAAGAAATAACAGAAAAAATAAAATAATTAATTTTACTAAACAAATTAAGGTGAACAAAAATAAATAAAAAGAGATTTCTCCTGTGCACAATTTTGTGATTATTGATTCAATAAAACATGATCACAATATACAATATGATGATGTTAAAACACAATATATAAAAAAAAAAAGAACTTTATATTTTCAAAGAAAAAAAAATTATTTCAACACTAAAATCAATAGATAATAGGTAATAGTCGTTTGAAAGTGTAAAAAAGCGGACGAAAAAGACGATCGGCTTGATAAAAAAATAAATAATACACAAGTGAAAGATTATAAAATATGAGATACTGCTAAAATGCTTAGAAGAAAAAATAAATAAAATATTTTTAAGTAGAATGAATAGTCACCGATGAATATAATAAAAATATATTGATTTCAAAATCGACTAATTGAAAAATTATTCTAAAATAAACAGAGATAGAATAAAACATATATAATATTGAGCAGACATTTTATCATAGTTATTTAGTCACTTCTTATAAAAAACGAGTGAACCAAACGCGTCAGTGTCAATAATCGTATTTCAAAAATTATTATTTTAATATTCCTAAAATTTGACAATTACTAAGCAAACAAATTGTTTCTGTTATCTTCTGTATTAAATATTTTTTCTTGAAAATATTCTAATTAGTTTCCTTAATGGCTTACCTGAAAGAATAAAAATGACTCTTACCCTATACATCGAAGAAATCGACGATGTTTTACTTATTCCATCAGGTAAAGAATAACGATCTAAGACAACATTCAGCTAAAACAGAAAACGAAAGAAATTAGTGCTATTATTGTACGTAAATAAACGGATAAGAAAACAGTGATACATCTAGAATAAATATCAGTTATTACGTTTGTTTTCACGTATTAGAAATAAAAACGACAAAAACATTCGAACAAGAAGTTAAGCAAATTGATAATTATAGCAAAACAATGTGAAGAGTTAAAAAAGCATCATATTAAGTTAGTGTTATGTAAACAAACGACAAACAAGTAGTAATGAATCCCACGAATAATGAAAATTCAGTGTAATCACCATTGAGAGTATATCATAGTTCTGTTTCATCTATTTCTTTGAGTGATGTATCCAGATGCTAAAGAATATATAATTTTTAGGAATAGATGCTAGATTTTATTTGTTGAAAGATCATAAGCACAAGAGATAAGTGCATCTAATTCAATAAGAATTCATTTTAAAGCGTTTTATTCTTTATTTTTGATTGATATATAATTCAAATTTTGTTTTATCATGCACAAACAAAATCAGAAAAGCTTCTTAATTCCCTTCTAAAGGCTTCAAAAAAAAACTTTATTCCTATAGGTCATTTGTCCTACAAAAATTATCGATTGCAATGTTGATTATCGTTACCTGAGCGTCATTCTCTAACATTTTTTCTTTAATATTACGAACAGCATCATGAACCGTAGCTGTAAGAACAACATTGCATGTTTCAGACATTTTTAATCGCTCAAGCAACTCATAAATATAATCTAAATAGAAAAAAAAACAAAAGTGAATGTGATAGGCGATACTTTTTTAATTCTTCAATAAACTCACATCTCATATTACACAAGTGTACTTTCAATTCAACATCGTTCAGATCCTTAAGAGTTTGTATAAAAATTTTTGCACCGGTATAATCTATATGATTTATTGATGAACAATCAATAATCACATACGTTAAACGATAACTATTGGCAATTAATGTATCGATATTTTTATGCTAAGAAGAATAAGAATAAGAAATATCATAAAAAAATATCATAAATTCTATCTGATTTACTTCATGTTGACGATTCTTGGTCAAATCTACTCCAATGGTATCTAATAAACTTGAACGAAAATAATCGGCATTAAAATAACTGATGGAAGATTCAAATCGAAAAATTTTTATGTTGGATATTTCATGTACCTAGAACAAATGAAGAATAACAATGACATCGTTTTAATCAAAAATATCCTTCTTACATTTGAATAACGTTTTGTATTTTTATACACTTCAGTACGAGCAAATTGTCCGAGTATTGTTGTACGCGGTCTAAAAAACAAAATGTCGATTTGTTTAATAATATTTAGGTAATTCCAAAACAAAAAACACATACCTAAACTGCCTTATTATCACGATAACAAGCGAGACAAGGATACCGATAATTAGACCCAAATCGATATCGAGAAGAACTGTACTTAAGAATGTTATAATCCAAACAATCTATGATTAAAATAGAGATAAAATATATCGAAATAAAGAAATATAAAAAAACATACAGATTCTAACTTTGTTATACGTCCAATTGTCCATATATCTTTTGTTTGTAAAAACAAACCTTTTAGTGCAACGACAATGATCGCAGCTAAACACGCCTTAATACACAAATACACTCAATACAAGTGCTGTGCTTTTTGACTGTGTAGTACCTTTGGTAATGGTTGAAAGAATGGACCAATTTTCAAAATGATAATTAATAGAAATCCAGATGATATTAAACTTGCAAGCTGATAATGAAAACAAATAATTGAGTTATGAATTTTTTTTGTTTATTATGAAACATTTACTTGTGTTTTTCCACCAGCATTGACATAGACGCTTGTGCGAGATAAGGATGCTGCCGAAGGAAAACAAGAGAAAAATGAACCAACAGCCTAAATAGAAATAAAAATTTGCTTGAAGTAGACGACTATACTGTATCAGCCTTGTATTGCAATTCAAAGATTTAATTAAATTAAAAAGGGACACTTAAGAAAATCCTTGAGTTGGGAAAAACCTTACACTACATAAACCATATGCCATTAATTCTTGATTTCCATCTACAACATATTTGAATCGTTTTGCAATGGTTGTTGCTAAGCTGACGGAAATTGCAAATGAAACAATTGCAATAATAACGGCATCTTTGATAACTAATGGGAGTAAAGTAATATTTGGCACACGAGGGATTGGAAATCTTTAAAAAAAGAAGTTTAATTAGAGCAATACTAAAACAGGATGAATTTTCCAACATACCCACTATCAATTTTTTTTACAATCTTTACACGATATCTGGGGTTTAATTCAGCCATATGTGAAACAACGGTTCCAACTATGATCTAGCAAGAAAATAAAATGTTAAAAAGAACGAAGATGCACCGATAATATGATACATACCACAGCTAATTCAATTGGTATCGGAATTTGTAGATTTTTAAACATTTTTAATCTTTTCAGTTGTCTTTTATAAAACGGATCTATAAACTCTTTGACAAGAATCAGTGAAACGATTGAGCATAAAGAGACGATAAATGTTGCTGGATTTGTATTCTTGAGGTTCTTAAATATATCAATATACGTCTAAAAAAACCAAACGATTTATCTTATCATCCAACAATGACATTTAGAGGTATAACTTGCATAGACAATATTCATTGGTCCAACATAACGTTTAATCGTCAATCCAAAAATATCACTGATCTGGCTTGTGAACACCAGCACAGCTGTTCCAGTAGTATAACCACTGATAAAAGCGTCCGATAAAAATGCCGTAACAAGTCCAAGTCGACAAATACTAAGAATAACCTAAAATACAAAGAAAAATTGATGATAGCTGCGAATCTATTTTACAATAAATTCATACAATACCTGTAAAACACCAACAGTCAGCGCAAGAGTTGTTGCGACTGTTATGGCATACGATGGATCATTAATAATCGCAGTTGGTATTGTACTATTGTCGTAAAGACCATTCGTCGTCACAGGACGATGTATGCTTGAAAGACGGTCTACTACGTTTCCTGTCATTAAACTAACAACGGCAATCGCTCCTGGAAGAAACAACGTACGATATAAATAAATAGAAAATCAGGCAAATTTACCTAATGATAAATGTCTGGATGTACCAAAAAAAGCATAGACCAACGGAGGAAAAAATGAAATATATAAGCCTAAAAAGCATTTAATTCGTGTTATATTTTTAACAAATATCTCAATTATTTATACCTAAAACTGCAGGCAAGTTCGCAAGCAAGGCATAAGCCATTCCTTGGGGTATTTGCATAATAGCGACAGTCAATCCGCAAATGATGTCTGATGGCAACCAACCGCGTTCATACTTCCGAGCCCACGACAAAAATGGAAAAATTGTATTGACATATGATTTTCCACATTTTATAGAAGGCACACATTTTCCAGTCAGATAATGCCTGAACTGTTTGAATAGTATAACGGGCGTTTGGTCTTCATACGTTGTTGGTATAAATACTTCATTAAATGCTTTTTGCGTAATGATTGGTCTTTCATCAACGAGATATCCATGAGGAGGAGATAAGTGTTGCTGTTCGTCTACATGATTATGTTGCAGAAAATCATTATTTGCCATGGCTATTTTAAAGAAAAGACAACATATAGTTTTGAAAATGGATAAAAACTTTTTTTGTGCAAAATAAGTCTGCTTGCTTTTTCCATCTACGAGTTTTACAACCACTTCGTTTAGTAATAGACAACTTTTACCCTAGTTGCTAACTATGAGTCGAAAGCGAAAGTCGCTCCTAGTTTGGAATTATTTATTACTTATGTCATATGACAGTTACAGGTTAAGAAGAGGGTGTTAGTTTTGTTTTCAGTTGAGAAGTTTATAAAACAAAACAACTAATGATGCATATCAATAATAAATATTATCAAAGCTTCATAACAGGCGTATGACAATGTTACAAATAATCAGTCACTTACACATATGTATCATCGATGATCCATCACGGACATTTTTATATAGGTCTGTACGATTTCTACAGTTTATTCATCGATACATTCTCCATTAAAAGATTGCTGTATGGTACTTTTTTAACAAACATATTCCATTAGTGGATCTTGCCATTACACAACATCTGATCACGAAACTAGCATCTAACTGTGCTGATTTACAAAGTTATTATCTGTCGATAGTTCGTGCCATCATTAGACTTCTTCAACGAAGACATTCTAAGAGTGGGTCAGTTATACAATAAAATTCGATCGTTCCACGTAAGGCTTACAGTAACCGGACAGCCACATGCTTTCCACTGAAACTTGTATTGTTTTCTGCAAAAATGTGGTTTACGATAAAGAACAATATTTTTTTCCGCAAATATAGTTTGTTTAACACATCATCACTAATATATAATAAAACGCAGAATCGTACGCATCAGATGCGAATGCCACACCGATCAAACAGCTCATAGCCAATCGGAGAGCATTTTAACCCAAATCAAACTATCGTCAAATTAGAGAATTTTCACATATCAGTAAGTGGTACTAAGGAAATGTAAAATACCGGAATGAATTATTGTATAAACTATCGAAATGCATTAGTGCGCTACTGTATATTCATTTTTGCATGATATGCGGAAATTACTTAGCGAAACAAAAATGTTTTCTTATTATGAAAAAGAGAACAAAAAAAATAGAAAGTGGCTTGTAGATATAACGAAATCTCCTCATTCATAAAGAACATCCAGGAAAAAATTCGTGTTTATGATTTGGTCGCGTCTGTGTAGTTTTAGCTGACACCTCCCCTAGTGAAAGTACTTGTGAGTGGGTAATTGACATGCATTATAGGAACTTTGCAAGTATTTTCCAAAAATACTACTTGATAAGCGTTTGTGCAAATACTTGCGGAAATTTGAAAGTAAACAAATACTTGAGAAATGTTTCCTGTACTTGGTTTTTGTAGAACAGCAACAAGTTCTTGCAAACATAATGCTCGGCACCAGACTAGCGATGAATACCCATAGCTCAGGCTTTGTATTCTCTAAAAAAGAATTACTACCAAACCTTTAGCTTTGCGTGTTTTTGCAATAAACATTTTATGAAATTCGCTTTCGTAGGCTGTTGACGAAGTAAAGGTAGCGTACGAAACTCCAAGATTAACCTCTTTTCGAAAAGATTCTGGGTTAGTTTTACTAAAACATGAAAAAGGTTTAACAGAAATGTTTTTTTATAACAATGTTTATTTTTTTCTCCTTTATGCATTCCTTTTTTCTCAGCAGAAGGAAAAGAAGAAAACTCTTTTTCTTTTCCTTACAACAGAATAAACATTATTCTAACAACACACGCACATTATTTGCCATGTACTTCTCAAGTATCTCAAGTACTTGTAGAATTTATTCAAGAGTAGCACTTGCCAAGTACGTGATTTACTTGTCAAACGTTCCGCAGATATTTGCGGGTTGCTTGGACAAGTACCTTCTTTAGGGTCTCCTCTTCATTTGGGTGTCTTTTCAAAATGAGCGAACGAGGAAACTAAACTTCATAAAATGCAATTAACGAATATTGCATTTTCTGAATAAAGAAATACTTCGTATGAAATTAATCTACTCGTTCGGTGTTCTTTTAGGGTTTGAAATAACTATCCGCTTTACAAAATGAGTGAGTAGTATTTTCTGAAGTAGGTAATGCTCCAACGTCAAAACATTTTCAAAACATCATAAGAGAAACTTCCGGTATTTTACATTTCCTTAGTACCACTTACTGATATGTGAAAATTCTCTAATTTGACGATAGTTTGATTTGGGTTAAAATGCTCTCCGATTGGCTATGAGCTGTTTGATCGGTGTGGCATTCGCATCTGATGCGTACGATTCTGCGTTTTATTATATATTAGTGATGATGTGTTAAACAAACTATATTTGCGGAAAGAAATATTGTTCTTTATCGTAAACCACATTTTTGCAGAAAACAATACAAGTTTCGGTGGAAAGCATGTGGCTGTCCGGTTACTGTAAGCCTTACGTGGAACGATCGAATTTTATTGTATAACTGACCCACTCTTAGAATGTCTTCGTTGAAGAAGTCTAATGATGACACGAACTATTGACAGATAATAACTCTGTAACTCAGCACAGTTAGACGAAATTCTACAACTTTATATGCTCGTTCTAGCCAGGGATAAGGGAATGATTCGAGGTTTGTAGGAGATATAGAACATGCATTCTTAGGACTTCCTATAACATTCTAATTCATAACTTACGAACCGTGGCAACCATATTTCACGTTGCCTTTTATAGGAGGCAAGCGATCCTTATCTTCGACCCTCACATAACTAAAACTAGCGATGATGAACACTAGCAAAGAAACTTACTACACCGCGACTTACATCATGTTTTTGTGATAATCATTTTCGGTACTTTGATCAATCACTGCAGATCACTTACCGTAACCACAAGCGTAAATAAAAGATTTCGTTAGTCTTCTGATAGTTTAAAATTTACTTCAATGCTAAAAGTAGAACAGAAAAAGATCACGCCTCTTTAATCTAAAAAAGATAACTATTTATACATGCACACCATTCATGCGCAGCTGTCGAGGAGTAAAAAGTCATACATTTCAAGTCATATTCTTCACGTAAGAGATATAAATGTTTGTTGTACTAGTGAAAAAGTGCTTATACTTTGTGTACTTCGTACTTTCAAAAGAGCACTTGCACGTATAACTGAAATACATTTCTTATATTCATACACAAAATATATCATCTCTGAATATGGATGGATCATAGTAGCAATCTTACATGCTCGATCTAGCGATCTATTGCACATACACTGTTATCCTTCCGTTAGGTAGACATAAAACTTAGAAAAAGTTCTAGTTAATATTCAACGCTAAATGATTGAAAGTCTAATGCCATCTTCTCTGGGCAGTCCTGAGTGGCGACAGCGCGTCAAAAAACACACAAAAATCACAAAAATCTAATCACAAAATTTAAAAGATTAACACATGCTCAATCTTCAAACTGCGATTCTGATGTTTTTCTGGATATCTGTTCGATTTGCACTCCGTTTTCCCAGATGAAATTTGCTAGTAAACATAAAGTATCTCGTATGAATCGAAAGTAGAGGTCTGCGGGACCAAAAAGGTTTGGTCCCGTCCTATGAAAAAAAAAATTTGGTCCCGATCGCGTGGAAAGAACTCATGTTTGGTCTCAGGTCCGTGGTCCCGTAAAAAATTTTCAAAGTAACGCCGGTAGTTTGAAAGTCAGCGCGTTGTAATATGGTGCATGGGACAGCATGCGTGGGTGGTATTAATTAAGAACTTTTTGCATTCTGTCTGAGTTTCTCGCAAAACCAATGCCTACATACAAACAAGCACCGAAACTAAGAAATTTTTATACTCTATACAAGGCTATTTTCAAAAAAACCTGGTCCCGATCCCGTTAAAAGCCACGTAAGACTGGGACTACCCGGCAGGACTGAGACCGTCCCGCAGAGCTCTAGGCCCCGGTCTCATTCTGGTCCCGTAAAAAGTCCCGCGGTACCGGGATGAGACCAGGACCGGGGCCGTCCCGCAGACCTCTAATTGGAAGGCACTTTTGCTCTCTATATTTCTACACTCTTTTCAAAATTTTTGCTTTTATGGTTTGGAAGAAATAGGCTAGGAACTGAGAGGTGGTAGGCTTTCCGTCACGCTTTCGAGAAAATGGATTTTTCGGAACCAGGTTAGTGTGCAAAAAGTTTATTTTGACACAGTTAAATGGAGAATTCAATGCTAAACATATTGCTGTGTCTTTCACTTTAAAAAGTGAAAACTGAAATTTTTCATAAACTCGTAGATAAAAGTTCAGAATGTTTGTCAGAAAAGTGATTATTTCTGTAATTTCACATTTTTTAATTCAAAAAATTTCCTAGCCCATCTGTCTTTCAACAAGTTCCGAGCTACAAGACGCATAATTTTATGGCGAATCTAATGCTTATTGGTATGCTTAAAATTTCAAAAAAACTGTTTATAAAAATCTAAGATCATTTTATCAATTTCTGCCCGTCACAATTTTGAAA